TTTTCCAATTACAAACAAGTTATTGTCCTGAAACTAGAAAAATGCTTGTTTTTTGCCCCTTTTTGGCCCCTAATTCCTAAAATTTTGAGGCAATTACCCCCAAAATCAATCCCAGCCTTCCCTTTGTGGTATGGTACCTTGCAGTACAATTTCAGAGAGATCCATACACTTGAACACAAGTTATTGTCTGGAAACTAGAAAAATGCTTATTTTTGGCCCCTTTTTGGCCCCTTATTCTTAACGTTTTGGGCAATTACCCCCAAACTCAATTCCAGCTTTCCCTTTGTGATATGGAACCTTGTAGTACAATTTCAGAAAGATCCATACATTTACACACAAGTTATTGTCATGAAACTAGAAAAATGCTTGTTTTTTGCCCCTTTTTTGGCCCCTAATTCCTAAAATTTTGAGGCAATTACCCCCAAAATCAATCCCAGCATTCCCTTTGTGATATGGAACCTTGTGGTACAATGTCAGAGAGATCCATACACTAACACACAAGTTATTGTCTGGAAGATACAAAAATGCTTATTTTTGGCCCCTTTTTGGCCCCTAATTCCTTAACTGTTGGTACCATAACCCCCAAAATCAATCCCAACCTTTCTTTTGTGGTATTGAACCTTATGGTAAAATTTCATAGAGATCCATTCACTTAAACTAAAGTTATTGTGCGAAAACCAATGTGTCTTCGGACGACGACGACGTCATACCAATATACGACCGCAAAAATTTTTTGCAGTCGTTTTTGCGGTTGTATAAAAACTAAGTTCAATTGGACTTGAATAAAGTATTTTTTCATTGATGTAATTCTATTAGATGTAACTGTTGTAAAATTCTAAATATGGGCAAACAGAAAATGGCTGCACGGCAGATTTTAAAATTGCTTAAATGCTACAACTTAACATCATCAAGCTGCAGACCAAATATGAAATTATTCCCTTCCATAGAAGCCAAGAAAACTTTGACTCAAATTTTCTACCCAAGGTCTTTCAGACAGACGGAATAACAGAATGACCAACAAAGTCGAGAGGTTACTGCTTTATACCACAAGAAAACACTTGTCATTTGAAACCCTGTCATTTTGGCAGAAAAGAAATACACATATCCATAAAATTAAACAGGTTCACTACGAACCCCTACTGGAGTAGTTGTTCAGCTTTTCTAATGTCTAGAGAATGTGTCACTTATGTTGTGGTTTCTTGTATGATTTTGACCAGCTGAAAAAATGACCTGGATAAAAAATTACAGCAACTGTGTAAAAACAAGAATGTGTCCATAGTACACGGATGCCGCACTTGCACTATCATTTTCTATGTTCAGTGGACCGTGAAACTGGGGTCAAAACTCTAATTTAGCATTAAAATAAGAAAGATCATATCATAGGGAACATGTGTACTAAGTTTCCAGTTGATTGGACTTCCAACTTCATCAAAAACTACCTTGACCAAAAACTTTAACCTGAAGCGGGACACCCCACTCACACTATCATTTTCTATGTTGAGTGGACCGTGAAATTGGGGTAAAAACTCTAATTTGGCATATAAATTAGAAAGATCATATCATAGGGAACATGTGTAATAAGTTTCAAGTCGATTGGACTTCAACTTCATCAAAAACTATCTTGACCAAAAACTTTAACCTGAAGCAGGACAGACGGACGAACAGACCGAAAAACATAATGCCCCTAGGTGGGGCATAAAAATTCCTGATAAATTATCCATACTGTTAAAATACACCTTACCTGTAATCCTGACTGTTTGATCCATACCACACAACTCTGAGCATAGCTTCTTTTGTCATTAGGTCGGACAGGAAAAGGAGTCTTGTTGTCATCTTCACCATAGGGTGGCTCTGTGAAAGCTGATATTGGTGCTAAGTTGTCTAAACTACCTATCCAATTAACAGGTTCATCACCTAATAAGATACAAATATTCTTCTATTTATATTTCCAAATAATAAAAGATCAGAAATTCTAACACTCCAATAAAAACAAGACCCTGACCAAGAAAATACTTTAATACTTCACCTTACATGTGAAAGCATCTAAAATTGATAGATTCAGTACAGACTAAAAATCTGTTACTCACAATTACATTGCCAAAAAAAGCTCTGATTCAAACAATCTGATAGTAAACTGAATATACTATGACTGGTCAGCTGAATGTGTCAGCAGTATATCAGTTTCATGTAATTTTTTGTGCCTTGTACCCACCTTTTGAGTTAAGCCAATTGCTACTGATTTTCACAGTTTGTTCTTATTTTGTGCAATAACATGGGGAGGGTTGAGCGCTCACAAACATGTTAAACCTTGCCACTTTATTATGTGCCTGTCCCAAGTCAGTGTCTGTTCATGTCTGTCATATTTGTATTTCTTAAATTGTTTTGTTATAAATTAGGCCATAGGTTTTCTTGTTTGAATGTTTCACATTTTTCATGTCAGGGTCTATTATAGCTGACTATACGGTATGGGTTTTTCCTCTTTATTGAAGGCCAGACAGTTGCCTATAACTAACTAACTAAATTATTTATTATAGTGACATGTGTTTTTGACAAATAGTGTATAATACAATGAATATACAAAAAAATTAATAGAACACCCGACCCTTTGGGTCTATAAGTCACTTTAAACATTGATGTCAATGGTACTACGAACAAAATAAATTAATTTCAAAAATTTTCATATAAAAAGATTTTTCTCTTACTGAAAGTTTTCAAAAGATATTTAGCAGTTTTTCTCTGATGTTGACATAGTAAATATTTAAACTGTTCCTCTTTTGATAGAATATATAAATTTTCAATTTGTGAGAAATGTTGCTCATAAATGGTGGAAAAATTACAGTTTATTAGGAAAAGGAATTTGTTTTCTATATTTGTTATCATCACACATTTTACACAATCGGTCATCTTCTGCTTACATCCACTTCATTTGAACTTTGGTGGATAGTTGTCTCATTGGCAATCATACCACATCTCCTTATTTTTATATTATTAGGGATTGAATTTTCAGTGAGTATAAAATTTTCAACTTGTTAAGCCAGACTTTTCTTCACCAGTCAAGAGTGACACAGAGGTTAGTCTTTAATCTTTTCAAGTTTGGATTTCAAGGACAATAGCAACTATTAGTTGAACAAATGACTTCTTTCCTTAAAAATGTTGTGCTCTCAAACTACATGACTACATGTTTTGAAATTGTAGGAGATTGATGACTGGGAGACCCACTACAAACGATCCTAATTTTACATTGTTGAGGCAGCAAACATGGTAGCATGTGTGGTACAATAGGTACTTCCCACTTCATTTGATTTTCATTGGATAAAAACATGACTTTCAGAGGCATCTTTGATTCTTTCTAGCCTATTCTTTTTTTTTAAACTACAACTGAGCATGAAGTAGACCTAAAGTTTAGACTTGAAAATAATTACCTGGGGTAAACAATGAAAGCATTAGGTTACTTTTCTTCTTGCTGTCAGCCCAGGAGTACAATATACCAAACCAGTTTTCCCTGTAATATGTTAAGATTGTACATGTGAAATATCCAGTTTATATACTTGTATAAAGAAAAACAGATCATTGATAACTATACATATGATATGTTCAAATGAACTCTACAATTGGGTTGTTTTTCTGCATTGGTCTCCTCTCTTTTCCTGCATTAAGACATTGACTTTCTGATTTCATTGGGTATTTCTAAGAAAGTTAACTGTCAAAGTGTTTTTTATTCTTGGATTCCCATTTTCTTGATTCAAGCATTTAACATAAGATAATATTATTTTCTGCCATTGCAAAAAAAAATAATTGAAATAAGAATAAAATCAGTTGTGGGCTACACATCAATCACACAGCACCCATGTCATTCATTGAGTAATAAATTTCTTTGTCTTATTGAATCTTGAAATCAAAGGATCCTTATTGAATTGTCTTTATATCTGCACCATGTTTTGATCATCACAATAAAAAGTTGTTTTCACTAAATGCAAATAAATACTCTTCTGTTAGGAATTCTGTTGGGCAACTTTCACAAATGTTTTTGATATTATCTGTAATCATACTAAAAGTAAATATATTGAGATTTTGGTTACCTACCCAACTTGTGTCAAGGCCACCATTCCTTCTACTTTCAGACTACCATGTAACAGAACAGTAAATGATGGAATTTTACCATCTTCAGTGGATGGCTCTTCCTCATTCTCATTCTCTTTTTTTACTTCTCCATTTTCTTGTTTTGATTCTTTAAGTTAAAAAGAAAAGGTGCACATATTATATATTTACTATTACACGTACAATTAAATTATTTAACATAATAATTTATGCCTTCATCATCTCTACTGTGGATTCATTTATTTTTGTGGGTTCCAAATTTTGTGGATTGAGGACAAATTGTCTTTTTGTGGATATTTGATTCCATGGTTGTACACAAGCCTGCATACAAGCCTATATAAACATTGCCTTTGTTCACATGTACCCAAGAAATCAACACAAATTGATAGATCATGACCTGATAAACAATTTTACCACATGTCAGATTTGCTCTAAATGCTTTGGTTTCAGAGATATAAGCCAAAATCTACATTTTACCCCTATGTTCTATTTTTTAGCCATGTCGGCCATCTTGGTTGGTTGGCTGGGTCACCGGACACATTTTTTAAACTAGATACCCCAATGATGATTGTGGCCAAGTTTGGTTAAATTTGGCCAAGTAGTTTCAGAGGAGAAGATTTTTGTAAAAGTTAACGGACGACTGACGACGACGGACGAGGGACGACGGACGCCAAGTGATGAGAAAAGCTCACTTGGCCCTTTGGGCCAGTTGAGCTAAAAACTATTAGGAAAGCATATGCACTTGATGAATAATCAATAAGTGCCTTCAAAGTAGTCAATGAAATATAAAGGTGTATTTAAACTTTAGTTATCTATCAAATATAAACATAATCAAAATTTGGTTTAACCTTTGATAAGGTTATTAAGGAGGTAACCTGATAACAAACAAGGAAGTAGAATACCTCTGTCGTACTTAAAAATGGCGTTTTCACAATCAGTCAGAAAAGGACAAATTCCTGTTAGCTGTGGATTATGTGAGACTGATAGACCCATTAAATGGAAGTGTTTAGACTGTGACCTTTTATTGTGTAATCATTGTAAGGAGAAAGTACATTTAAGAGTAAAAACTGCAAAGGATCACAGAATAATCGATATCAAAGAAATTGGACTATATAAAGAAGAACTAGATTTTTCAAACATTGCCTGTCAGGACCATGCTGGACAATATGTCTGTCTTTATTGTAAGACATGTGACACTCTTGTTTGTCCAACCTGTGTAGCAAAAGTTCACAAGAAACATGATCTAACAGAAATTCATGAAGGATATGATATGAAAATAGACAAGTTGAAAAAAGGACAAAGTAAAATTCAAAGGGATAGGAAAGAAATTGTTTCCAAAAAAGAACAGCTTAACCAAATTTTATCTTCAGAAAATTATAAATACAACCAGGTAAATCAAGCTATTCAAAAGCATGAACAATCTGTCAAAGTAGCAGCTGAAAGGTACTTTAAAAATATTCGAGATGAATTAGATCAGAATTTCGAAACTGTTTCTAACACAATTAAATCTGATTTAAATGCTGCCTCAATCTTACTTAAACAAGCTCAGGATAAAAACAATGAAGTTTTGGAATTTATATCATTAACCAATATTTCCAAGTTCTTTACAGATGTCAACAAACTTGAAAAATCTATTGACATCCAAATGCCAAATCTGAGGTCGAATCAAGTATCTCTACCAAACTTCGTTCCAGGGGATTTCAATCAGTCTAACATTGGGGTGTTTCAATTGGATAAAAATCCATCTCATAAACCACATATTAATCTGGAAATAAATAAACAATATCAAACTGAACTTGAGACTGTATCATATTTATGCTCATCTATTGATAAATCCTTCTGGATAAGTTCTGGAAATTTTGGTTTATTTCAAAAAATGAAACTTGATGGAACCAAATTGAAGATACTATCCAGTTATAATACCAATGTCTATGGTATGGCTAAAACTCAATCAAATAATCTAATATTGTGTCTTGAGGGATCAAGACTCCAAGAGGTTAGTAGTAATACAGGTAATATTACAGACTCGGTATATAATGTGTCACCATTAGTACCTTCAGCAGTCTATATCACCAGAGACAATAAAGTTCTAGTAGGAGGTATTAATAAAGACTACCCTAAACAAGGGAGAAGGGCTGTAATACTAATGAATCAGAATGGAGACCATGAGAGAGTGTATGAACATGATCAACATAAACAACCTATATTTATCAATCCCTTCAGAATAACCAGCACCAGTAATGGAAATATTCATGTGGTAGATGGTATAGTAAGTGCTGACAGACATAGAGTAGTTGTGTTAGAACAGGATGGGGATATAATCAATATCTATACAGGACATACAGAGATCAATAAGGACATACAATTCAAACCAACAGACCTAGTGACAACACCTAAAGACAAGGTTATTGTAGCTGATATGGATACTGATACACTTCACATCCTGAACCATGCTGGCCTATTGATGACATATTATAAAACAAGTGACATAAACATAATGGCACCATTGTCTCTTGCTTTCTCTCCATCAGGACAACTCTACATAGGAAGTGGAAGACCATTAGGCAGTACAAACAAGGAGGCCAAGATTTATGATGTGTCCATATCAGGATGTTAAAACATTTATACAACATTGATTCATATATCAAATAATGGAAAATTATATGTTTGCTGACAGTAACATGTCTGAAGTTTGATACAACTTTACTACAGATTATATGTTTGCTGACAGTTATAACATGTCTGAAGTTTGATACAACTTTACTACAGATTATATGTTTGCTGACAGTTATAACATGTCTGAAGTTTGATACAACTTTACTACAGATTATATGTTTGCTGACAGTTATAACATGTCTGAAGTTTGATACAACTTTACTACAGATTATGTATTTGCTGACAGTTATAACATGTCTGAAGTTTGATACAACTTTACTACAGATTATATGTTTGCTGACAGTTATAACATGTCTGAAGTTTGATACAACTTTACTACAGATTATGTATTTGCTGACAGTTATAACATGTCTGAAGTTTGATACAACTTTACTACAGATTATATGTTTGCTGACAGTTATAACATGTCTGAAGTTTGATACAACTTTACTACAGATTATGTATTTGCTGACAGTTATAACATGTCTGAAGTTTGATACAACTTTACTACAGATTATATGTTTGCTGACAGTTATAACATGTCTGAAGTTTGATACAACTTTACTACAGATTATGTATTTGCTGACAGTTATAACATGTCTGAAGTTTGATACAACTTTACTACAGATTATATATTTGTACTTTTTCAATCAAATAAAAATAACTTAACATAACTATTCTTTGTTTGGGCATTAGATTCAGGAATAGACCTCAAACTTAGATGGTCATACTCATTTTTCAAATGAAATTCACATGACAGTTAACTTCATTTTTATAGGAGGATATGATACAAGTACTACAAAGTATTCAATAGCTTAATTTGCTATTACTTTTCTTTTAAGATAAGAAACAATTAATATTTTTCATGTGAAATCTCTGTCATCAGACCAGTCTGGTGGTAAAAAGGTCAAAAACTTGTAAAGGAGCAACAAATGTGAAAATCTCTGTCATCAGACCAGTCTGGTGGTAAAAAGGTCAAAAACTTGTAAAGGAGCAACAAATGTGAAAATCTCTGTCATCAGACCAGTCTGGTGGTAAAAAGTCAAAAACTTGTAAAGGAGCAACAAATGTGAAAATCTCTGTCATCAGACCAGTCTGGTGGTAAAAAGGTCAAAAACTTGTAAAGGAGCAACAAATGTGAAAATCTCTGTCATCAGACCAGTCTGGTGGTAAAAAGGTCAAAAACTTGTAAAGGAGCAACAAATGTGAAAATCTCTGTCATCAGACCAGTCTGGTGGTAAAAAGTCAAAAACTTGTAAAGGAGCAACAAATGTGAAAATCTCTGTCATCAGACCAGTCTGGTGGTAAAAAGTCAAAAACTTGTAAAGGAGCAACAAATGTGAAAATCTCTGTCATCAGACCAGTCTGGTGGTAAAAAGTCAAAAACTTGTAAAGGAGCAACAAATGTGAAAATCTCTGTCATCCGACCAGTCTGGTGGTAAAAAGGTCAAAAACTTGTAAAGGAGCAACAAATGTGAAAATCTCTGTCATCAGACCAGTCTGGTGGTAAAAAGGTCAAAAACTTGTAAAGGAGCAACAAATGTGAAAATCTCTGTCATCCGACCAGTCTGGTGGTAAAAAGGTCAAAAACTTGTAAAGGAGCAACAAATGTGAAAATCTCTGTCATCCGACCAGTCTGGTGGTAAAAAGTCAAAAACTTGTAAAGGAGCAACAAATGAATATATGTACCAAGCTAAGATTAACTGATAGCTACAAATAAAACAAAATATTACAACATAGGTAAAATAGACAGGAACCTTACAGCAGAGTAAAACAAAGATATTATTACGCCATAGGTAAAGATGATAGAAACCAGAAAACACAATAAAACAAAGAAAATATAACAGCAAGTGCAAAGGTGACAGAAACCCAACAGAACAATAAAAACAGAATATATTACAGCAAATTGTAAATGTGACAGAAACTCAACAGAAAAATAAAACAAAACAAATATTCCAGCATATGTAAATGTGACAGAAACCCAACAACACAGCAAAGCTAGAAAATATTACAGCATAGGTAAATGTGACAGAAACACAACAACAGGGTAAAAAAAGGGAATATTACAGCAGAAGTAAATGAGACAGAACCCAACAACACAGTAAAACAAAGACAATATTACAGCATTGGTTAATGTGACAGAAACCTAACAACACAGTAAAAACAAAGAAAAATATTACAGCATAGGTAAATGTGACAGAAACCTAACAACACAGTAAACCAAAGAAAATATTACAGCATAGGTAAATGAGACAGAAACCCAACAACACAGTAAAACAAAGAAAATATTGCAGCATAGGTACAGGAGACAGAAACCCAACAACATAGTCATACAAAGAAAATATTACATCATAGGTAAATGAGACAGGAATCCAACAGCACAGTGAAACAAAAGAAATATTACAGCATAGGTAAAAACAGAGACAGGAACCCAACAACACAGTAAAACAAAGAAAAAATTACAGCATAGGTAAATGAGACAGTAATCCAACAACACAGTCAAACAAAGAAATTATTACAACATAGGTAAATGAGACAGGAACCCAACAACACAGTAAAACACAGAAAATATTACAGCAGAGGTAAATGAGACAGGAAACCAACAACACAGTAAAATAAAGACAATATTACACCATAGGCAAATGAGACAGAAATCAAACAACACAGTACTGATCATTGATTTTATGTTGATAGTCCTAAATATAAAGCTTTACTACAAGTATCACATAAACTAAACATGATCCAAGAAAATGAGGTCAAGGTCAGATAAACCCAACTGGAAATACATGTACACCTTACAGTCATTCCATACACCAAATATAGTTGACCTATTGCTTCTATTTTCTAAGAAACAAACTTAACCAGGAAAAACTTAACATTGACCAATGAACCATGAAAATGAGGTCAAGGTCAGATGAACCATGCCAGATAGACATGTACACCTTACAATCAATCTATGCATTAAATATAGTTGACCTATTGCTTACAGTGTTCCAGCTTGAATCTCAGGGCAGAAGGGTGCTAGTTGTCTGAAAGGGCACTTTAGCGTTATAACCCAGATTTTAAGGGCCTTATAGTATCTAAGAAACAAACTTAACCATGAAAATTTTTAACATTGACCAATGAACCATAAAAATAAGGTCAAGGTAAGATGATAACTGCCAGACAGACATTATATACACCTTACAATCATTCCATACACCAAATATAGTTGACCTATTGCTTATAGTTTAAGAAAAACAGACCAAAACAGAAAAACTTAACACTGAGCAATGAACTGTGAAAATGAGGTCAAGGTCAAATAAAACCTGCCAGACTGACATGTACATAGTAAAATATTTCCATATACCAAGTATAGTTGACCAATTGCCTATAGTATTAGAAAACAAAACCAAAACACAAAACTTAACTTTAATCACTGAACCATGAAAATGAGGTCAAGGTCAGATGACACCTGCCAGTTGGAAATGTACACCTTACAATCATTCCATACACCAAATATAGTAGACCTATTGCTTATAGTATCGGATATATGGACTTGACCACGACAACTTAACCTTGTTCACTGATCCATGAAATGAGGTCGAGGTCAGATGAAAACTGTCTGCCAGGCATGAGGACCTTGCAAGGTATGCACATACTAAATATAGTTATCCTATTACGAAATATTTCATGAAGATATTTCATTTTGAAACACAATAAAACGAAAAGCAGTTACTCCTCAATAGTATATCCTGTATGGTACCTCTTTTCAAACACGCTTATCTTTCTTTGTTTATGAAACACTTTAAAGGGTTCATTTCAGCACATGGTTATCACCATCGTCATTAAAAGAGACTTGAAATATTGGTAAGAAATATATAAACACAATCACTTCCTTTAATATTCCTTTAGGAGATTTTATTTAAAAACACATTAAAACAACAAACCATTACATATTTATTGTAAATACACAATTAATATCCTGTATGGTACCTCTTTCAAACACAGTTATCTTTCTTTGTTTATGTAATGAACACTCATGGTTATCAACTTCGTAAGCCAACAATGAAATAAAGAACAAATGATAAAGTATATATATTTTTATTCATAACAAAATATGCCACATGAACAATTTATCAAGTCACTGCAAGCACTTGACAATCTGAAGGTCTCCATAAAAAAAATACAGATATAATTTTTTTTTCACACTTGCCCTGAAACACAGAAAATATACGTACATAAAGCGCACCTGAGTATAACACGCAGGGACAATGACAGAGAAAAAAACCTGCGGCTTATTTAACGAATTTAACGGTACTCATAATAAGAGAGAAATTAACATTACAAAAAATCTTAACTTTTTTTTTCAAGTAGTCACTGAACCATGAAAATGGGGTCAAGGTCAATGGACATATGACAGACAGAAACTTCATAACATAAGGCATCTATATACAAAGTATGAAGCATCTAGGTCTTCCACCTTCTAAAATTTAAAGCTTTTAAGTAGTTAGTTAACACGGCCCCGTTGCCGCCGCCGGATCACTATCCCTATGTTGAGCTTTCGGCTCAACAAAAACCATTCCAGTTCATCTTGATGGCTTGGTGCGAAATTTATCTCAAAAACATTGAGTTATATAATGCATCTCGAGTGTGTCCCTTTTTCCAAGAAAGTCATTATTTTCCTTACTCTGAGCAAAAAAATTACTGACCATGCCAGGTCACCAATTATTGTTTGTGATTGTCAATGTCCAACTCAGAGAAAAAATTATACTTAGTACCATGTTTTTGTTATCTATGTAAGTCTGGTAACTTCAGAAGGATGTCAACTTGCTTCAGATTGTGATTGAAAGTATGGTTGGATTATGAAAAGTCCTATATTTAAGCATTAATAAAGTCATTTTGCTAAAAAAAAACATAAGACTGCCATTGTTTCGAACACTTTAAAATATACCGGTATTAGCCATAAAAGAACTGTCTATATTACATTGACCAATGTTATTTAATAACTAAAGCATTGGTCTTGGAACAATGGGTTATGTAAGAAGTACAAGCTAACTTGGCTGCCTTTAAAACACTTGACACTGTACCAAAGTAATCTAGATCCTTGTAACAGTTTGTGTAGTTGCTAATCTAAACACTGAGGAGGCTGTATATTTTGAGTCATTGTTGACCTGCTGTCAGTTCGGAACTTCTTGAGCATGTTGAAGGTGCTTCAAGGTCCGCATTGGAGTGTGAAACAATGAGCATTTCTTTGCTGAGTTGAAAGTTTATTAACTGTTTTTTTCGGCATCAAAACTTTGACAACATCAACAACATTCCACTTTTCAATCACTGCCGTTATTTACTTTAATCATCTTTGACTTGTGCCATTAACAGAAGCCATGTGGAGTAATTAATATTCGATCACCTGTTGAATGTTTAATCAAGCTATTATCACTTGTTAATTAGCGTTGGGCCACATCAACACAAGCTGCGTAATGTCAGTTAAACTTGATAAGTTCAGTACTCTCAGGTTTTTACATCTTCAAATTGTAAGAGGAAAAAACCCAAGTGTATCGAATTTTCTGTCTCACTAATTAGCGATAAGAAGCGTCAGGAAGGGTCAAGAAGCGACTATATTAAAAAAACACACTTTAATGCATGTTTCTATATTTATTTATTTGAAATAATTAATATCTTGATTTTTTTACACTAAATTTGTGTTCTTGTTGCTAAATTAGTCTTCTTGTCGCTTAATTATTCTGACACCCTTGAATTTTACACTGATTTCCAGATGTCAACTTTGGCACTGATCTTTTTGGATTTAAAAAAAAAAAAATTCATCAGACCTATCAGATTGAAATTGTTAACCTGACAAAGGGTCTGACTTGATAGCTATGTCAGACTGTCAGACGATTTTCAACAGCTCTGATTTTCAATAAATTCCAGATCGATATTGATAGTTTAGGCAGATTTCGGCAATATTCAACGTACCGAATGTTCTGATGAGAAAAATAAAAATAATAGGATTCCTGAGAAAACTGAGTTATTATTGACAGGTGGCGACTAAGCATAGATCAGTCGACTTTTCATTGTTATATCAACAACTGAAACGATCTTAAAAGCAACTAAAGATTAAAATACCACTCAAAATAAACCCAAACTCTTTCACACGGATTTTAAAGTAATATCAGTATGTCAATCGGTTGACTGCTCATAATGCAAAATGCAACTCTATCGTAAATTTTGAAAACTTACAAAAAACACCGTTCGATTCTTTACCTCACAATGTCAATGAATAACAATAAAAAATACAGAATATCACAAATAGAAGGAGAAAGAATTCCACTTTTTCGGGATTTCAATGGTGACACATTTACCCCCCACGTAGAAACAAAATGGCTATTGACTGATACCATTAAAGGCATTAAGGCAATGCCTTTAAAAATGAAAACATTACAGCTTAGGCAAAAGAGACAAGAACCAAACACCACAGTAAAACAAAAAAAATATTACACCATAGGTAAGATACAGGATCCATACAACATAATTAAGCAAAAGACATGTAGTTCAAAACTGATGTACAATTTACAAACTAGATCACAGATTCCTTACTATACGGGAATATTTATCAGTGAAGTCCAGCTCAAGTAAAAGCAGTGTCTGTGCATATATTCACCTGATGTCAGGTATTCAATTGTACAATAGAAAGCCTTTTAAATTGTCCCCAGTTACGGGTCAGGGGACATAGAAATACCAGGTGTCCCTCCATCCATCCATGTGTGCGTCTCTCTTCTCTGATAAGTGCTCTGTAGGGATATTGGAATAAACATGCAGTGAAAGGGTTAAATCCTTTATGAATTTTGTTGCAGTTTACTTACTTTTGATCAAATTACAGCCAAATTTAAGAACAAAAGTATTCTCCTCTGTTATCAGTCATTTTTTTTTAAGACAAAGACCAGATATTTGGATATATATCTTTGTACAATGAGATTTTACAAACTTCATGTTAATTTTTTTATTGACATAATTTTGTGTAATTATAGCCAGTTGATTCGTGATTTTATTTAGAAATTACTTTTCTGCTCACTTTGCTACCCCTCATGTTCAATACTATGCTATCACTATTAACAATTGCATATTAAACAAGTTTTGTTCCATTACAGGACTAAGGGTCCAGCATTTTTACATGTGATGTGGGTTATTCTTTTTAATAGGAGAAAAGGATCATAAAAATGCTTTTTAAGATTTCCGAAAGGGATTTTAAAAATGTTTTTAAAGATTTACCTCCCAAATTAATTTTTTTTAAACTTCAAAGGGATCTTCAAAAAAAAAATTTTATATATACGATTAAAATACATACAGTGAATAAAAAATTAATGTCCAAAGTTTGACTTGTAATTCTGATCCATAAAGAATCAAATTGGAGCCCTGTTTATAGCATTGAGACTTTGATATGGTAACTTAATTTTGCAATAATTCACATACCTTCCATCTTTTTGAGGTTCTTAGTGGACATAGGTAAAACAAGATGTCTGGACAACATAGGTGGACTGGCTACATCAGCAATATCTAGAAATCCTAAAATTTCTAATGTCTTTGATATATCTACAGAAACATGCTCAAATTCATCTGTTCTGAAAAATATAATTATATATTGTTTTATAATATATGGACCAAGTACATAGTAATCTAAACATTGTTGTTC